CATTACTAAAAGCCAACATGGGTTTGTCAAAAATAGATCATGCCAGACAAATCTTATTGCATTCTTTGACCAAGTGACAAAATTAGTGGATCAGAGGAATGCTGTGGATATAATTTACTTGGACTTCAGTAAGGCATTTGATAAAGTAGATCACAACCTACTACTTGACAAGATAGAAAAATGTGGGGTAGACAGCATCGCCACCAGATGGATTCGTAGCTGGCTGACTGGGCGTACTCAGCGTGTGGTCCTCAATGGAACCACATCTAAATGGAGGGAAGTGTGTAGTGGGGTGCCCCAGGGCTCTGTTCTGGGCCCAGTGCTCTTCAAGATCTTTATCAATAATTTGGACGAGGGGATAAATGGGGAACTCATCAAATTTGCAGACGACACCAAGCTGGCAGGAATAGCCAACACTCCAGAAGACAGGCTTAAGATACAGAAGGATCTGGACAGACTTGAACACTGGGCGCTATCTAACAAAATAAAATTCAATGGTGAAAAAAGTAAGGTTCTACATTTAGGCAAGAAAAACCAAATGCACAGGTATACTATTGCTCAATAGTAGTAACTGTGAGAGGGACCTCGGAGTCCTAGTGGACAATCACCTAAATATGAGCCAGCAGTGTGCTGCAGCTGCCAAAAAGACCAACACAGTGCTAGGCTGCATTAACAGAGGGATAGAATCAAGATCACATGAAGTGTTAATACCACTTTACAATTCCTTGGTAAGGCCACACTTGGAATACTGCATCCAGTTTTGGTCACCGCAATGTAAAAAAGATCTTGAGACTCTAGAAAGAGTACAGAGAAGAGCAACAAAGATGATTAGGGGACTGGAGGCTAAAGCATATAAGGAATGGCTGCTGGAATTGGGTATGTCTAGTTTAATGAAGAGAAGGACGAGGGGGGACATGATAGCAGTATTCCAATATCTCAGGGGCTGCCACAAAGAAGAGGGAGTCAAGCTATTTTCCAAAGTGCCTGAAGGCAGGATAAGAAGCAACGGGTGGAAACTAATCAAGGAGAGAAGCAACCTAGAACTAAGGAGAAACTTCCTGACAGAACAATTAACCAGTGGAACAACCTGCCTCCAGAAGCGGTGAATGCTCCAACACTGGAAGTTTTTAAGAAGAGACTGGACAGCCATTTGTCTGAATTGGTATAGGGTTTCCTGCCTGAGCAGGGGGTTGGACTAGATGACCTCCAAGGTCCTTTCCAACTTTATTATTATTATTATTATTATTATTATTATTATTATTATTATTATTATTATTATTATTATTATTATTATTATTATTATTATTATTATTATTATTATTATTATTGAATGAATAGATTAGCTTGGGTGTACATAATCTCTTCAGAGGGACCATAAAAAATTTCTCTGAATTATGCCATATTTCATCCACTCTAGCAGTAGACCTTGTTTATCTCTCTTTTTTGTCCTTTCATTCTAACTTCAGCAATGCTATGTTTTGCTCATTCACATATTGCTGTACAAATGTATGACATGTTTTTAAAAAGCTTGAAAATAACAATTAAATTGACTCTCTTTCTATCCCTTTCCTTTGTTCTCCATCCTTATGCAGCTTATCTATGGCTCTAGTCCCATTATGAATTATAAAACACCAGCCCTTTTTTTCTTCCAGATGAGCCCACTGGAAAGAGTTCAGTATGAAGGGATTCTGTCTTTGCTTCTCCATTTCAGATGGACATGGATTGGGGTTATTGTCATAGATAATGATAATGGAGAAAGGGTTATAGAAATGATTGTTCCATTATTGTCCCAGCACAACATCTGTTTTTCATATATAGAGAGAATCGGTGAAGTAACAACTGTTCATGAAATGTTTGACTTGTTCAGCCGTGGTGCAGAAATACATGATAAAGTTATGGATAGCAATGCTAATGTTCTGATATTTTATGGAGAATCCGATACTATGGTAAGGCTGAAATGGCTAGCATATTTATCAAGAAAAAGCATAATAGATATTGTCAAAGGTAGAGTGTGGATATTTACAGCACAAATGGAGCTCAACTCACATGTATATCAGAGAGATTGGGATACTGATATAATGAATGGTGCTCTGTCCTTCACAATTCATGCTAATGACCCACCAGGATTCCAGTCATTTACTGAAAGTAGAAATCCTTCCATGACAGAAGATGGATTTATCAAGGATTTTTGGCAGCAATCCTTTGTTTGTGCATTTAAAATTTCAAATGTAGATGAAGGAGCTGGTGATGTTTGCACAGGAGAAGAGAAACTGGAAGATCTTCCTGTAACTTTTTTTGAAAAAAGAATGACTGGTCACAGCTACAGTATTTATAATTCTGTCTATGCAGTAGCCCATGCATTGCATTCCATGATTTCATCCAGATCTGCTCAGAGGTCAGTGGCAAATAAAGAGAGGCTGAAGCTTCAAAATCAAGATTCATGGCAGGTAATGGACTGAGCATCATCTAGAAGAAAAACATTATTATTATTTTTTTATTGAAAATTTTATAAAAGTTTTACAATGTAATTCCCTCCCTCCCCAAAACCCACCCTTACCCTCCCCCC